GAGGCGGGCGGGGCATGGTCGAAGGCAGCTGCCGCGAGGGGTGAAGGCCAGGAGGGCGGGGGGCTCCAGGAGAGCACAGCAAGGGGCAGCAGAAAGGGGGGGGGCGCTCAGGGGAGGGGTTCCCCCCCCAAGCAGGGGCAAAGTGTTGCGGTTCAGACAGTGCTACCCGTGTGCCCAGGTGAATACAAAATCCAGCCATAGACAAGCCAGGGAAAGCCGGCAGGTGAACCCGCTCCTGGTGCAATGGTAAATAAGCACCACTGCAGGGCGATGTGCATTGATTGGTAACTGAACTGGGGATGTAAAATCCTGTTTAAAATGTCAACCGGTTAATCGCTACCTGTAACTGGCCTGCTCCAACACAGGATGAGAACCATTGGAGTAGCCTGCTAGCTGCAACATGATGCACTGCTCAGGGACCCGCACCCCTTGCCTAGGGGGCTGCCCTGACCAGACTGGAGTGCCCCCCCCCTCCAAATCCCTGTATTGCTATGGGCCCAACTCAAGAAACATGCCAATAAGGCAATACTTACCGGATACATACATCCCTAACATGAACGTGTTTTAGTGTAGACCTAAGCAATATAATTTATCTAGGAACAACTTTGAGGGCAGAGTGAATAACCAACTGAACCGGAAACCCCAGTTCTATACAGTGCATAAGAGTAGAAATTAGTTGTAGGAACAGGATATAATTCAGGGCATTTGGTGGGAGTAATGCTAAGGTGAAATAAGAACAATCCAAGTTTTGGAAAAACTGCCTTACAAATAAAGATTTAAAAAAACTCCTTATTTAGTTTATCCAAGAGACTGTTAAAGGATGACTCAAACAGTTCATATGTACCCATGTGGGAAGAATATTTAAGAGAACTATTTAATGTAACAGTTATTGGTAAAACAAAATCCAGTCAGAAGCTAAAGGTGAACAAAAATCAGACTAGAAGTAGGATTGCCAACTTTTCTGACCAGACACCATTGCTGCAAATAGCGTCCAGTCTGTCTGGTCAGGAAAGCTGGCAATCCTAAAGGATACAAATGATGGGATAACTAAACATTGGCACAATTTACCTGCAGCTGTGGGTGAATATTTCATTACTTGAAATATTTAAATTAACAATGCCTTTCTAAATGATAGCCTGTCATGATCATGAGGGTTTGCCAGCAGTTTGGGGAGTAAGGGGTTAACTGTGTCCCTTACTTAACCAGGTAAGTAATGGTTATTCTATCAATGTGCGAAGAAGCACATACATCATATGGAGACTTCTCTTAGAGGCAAATCCATTGATAGATATTCTCTAAGCTGTAGTCAGAAAGAGAGGAGGGGAGAGGACAAACCAGGGGCCAGAGCAGACAAACAACTGCATATAAAGGAATCCAATGCATCAGGGAAGGGCCGACAAATAAACAGTGGCAAATTTTTAAAGTGCTTCTGCACAAATGCTAGGAGTCTGACTAATAAGATGGGTGAACTAGAATACCTCGTATTAAAGGAGGAGATTGACATAATAGGCATCACTGAAACCTGGTGGAATGAGGAAAATTTGTGGGACACAATCATACCGGGATATAAAGCATATCGGAAGGACAGAGCAGGCCATGTGGGTGGCAGAGTGGCCCTGTATGTGAAAGATAATGTAGAATCAAATGAAATAAAAATATTAAATGAATCAACATGTTCAATAGAATCGCTATGGATAGTAATTCCAGGCTCCAATAATAAGAATTTAGCAGTAGGGATATATTATCGACCACTGACATTGAAATGCTGAGGGAGATTAGAGAGGCTACCAAAATAAAGAACTCTGTAATAATGGGGAATTTTAATTATCCCCGTATTGACTGGATACATGTCACCTCAAGAAGAGAAGCAGAGATAAAATTTCTCAATGGCTTAAATGACTGCTTCTTGGCGCAGTTGGTTCAGGAACCTACAAAGGGAGAGGCAGTTCTCAATTTAGTCCTGAGTGGAGCGCAGGATCAGGTCCAGGAGATAACTGTTAGAGGACGGCTTGAGAATAGTGACCATAATATAATAACATTTAACATTCCTGTGGTAGGAAGAACACCTCAGCAGTCCAGCACTCTGGCATTTAATTTCAAAAGGTGGAATTACACAAAAATGAGATTAGTTAAACAGAAATTAAAAAGCATAGTGACCAGAGCCAAATCCCTGCAAGCTGCATGGAAACTTTTTAAAGACACCATAATAGAGGCCCAACTTAAATGTATACCCCAAATTAAAAAACATAGCAAGAGACCTAAAAAGGAGTCACTGGCTTAACCACCACGTAAAAGAAGCAGTGAGGGACAAAAAGGCATCTTTTCAGTGGTGTTACTGCAATTTAACATAGGTTATATGTGACCCCTGGAGACTTTTGTGGCTCTGACTATATGCATCATATTCAAGTAAAGAACACATTTTCTCCTTGACTATGATCAGGGCTCACCAGCCGCGCTGTCCGGCGATCTGCGCATGCACAGATCGCCCGAACCCGGCTCTTCCAGGTTACAATCTACACGCCATGGATGAGTAGATTGTATTATTTGTCAAGCCCTGCCTATGATGAGCAAGTTCAGAGTGCTGTCCTCCTTATATGGTCCTCATGTTTTACATATTGAGTTTCTAGTTACAGAACTAAGTTAAGTTACATTTCAGGTTACATTTCTACAGTGCATGACTATTTTGGGATCCTGGAGGTATCCCGAAATACCTACCCCACATTTACAGAAGCAGCCCGTTATTTTGAAATATTTTTCAAAATAATGGGCACACTATTTTGCCATCCCAATAAACTTTGTTGCATGAGGGATAAGGGATGGCTTGAAATAGCACATTATTTCGACATTTGGTGCTGTGTAGAAGCGCCACATTTCAAAATAGGCTATGCAAAATATGATACGCAATTTGCGGAGTGCAAATTGTGCATCTTATTTCAAGTTTAGGGTGCTGTATAGACACAACCCTAGCCTTACTGCACCATAACCATTAATGCTAGACTTCAGAAGGAAAGGACACAGAGCTCTAATCACAGTTCCTGTTTTCCTACTTCTCAGTAGATATGGAATCATGAGCATATGATGCCCAAAGATCTAGGGCCTGGGAGACAAGTTGAAGAAAGAAAAATGATCTTCCTACTAACTGGATGTACAACTATGAGAACAAATATTTGTGGCTAGCCCATGACCTCTTCACAAATGGCATTCCCTGGCCTCTATTTGCCAGAATGGGCATGTTCTGTTCACTCCCTATGGGGCACCTGGCATTGCGTCCTGTCGGCAGACAGACTACTGGGCTAGATGGGCATTTGGTCTGACCCATTATGGCCATTCTTATGTTCTTATTCTTGACAGACGATGTGGAGAAAACTGAAGTACTCAATGCTTTCTTTGCTTCTGTGTTCACGGACAAGGAGGGCTCCCAGACTAATGGGCTAAGTGATGCAAGATGGGATGAAGATGGAGAGCCCTTGGTGGGTAAAGAACAGGTTAGGAACTATTTAGAAAAGCTATACATACACAAATCCATGGGTCTGGACTTAATGCATCCGAGGGTACTGAGGGAGTTGGCAAATGTCATTGAGGAGCCTTTGGCCATTATCTTTGAAAAGTCGTAGAGGTTGGGAGAAATCCCGGATGATTGGAAAAAGGCAAATGTAGTGCCCATCTT